TCATTTACTCCACCCTCCCCTCCCCCTTCTCCTTTTCCCCTCCCCCCGGACTCACCTCCTCCACCAAGTTTCTCCACCACAGCCTAATCCCGTCCGCCGTGGTGCCTTGCGGGGGGTCACTCAGGTACACAGTCACGTCCACCTTGCGGGAATGCTGTGACGTCAGTTCGCTGTTCAGCCAATCAACGAGCAGATCCTCAGCCCGGCAGAGACCAGACGCGTCCCTGGCGCCCTGGAACACTTTTTTCACCAGCTTCTCGCCGTCCTCGCAGTCCAGCACGACTACCCCGGCCTGGGCAGTGGGCGGAACGCGGGGACCGGTCGTCTCAAGGCCAGGGTTCGAATCTTTCATGATGTTCTCAGCCAGTTTCTGTGCCATGACGTTCTCGTAGGTGCTGTCAGTTGACTTGGTTCTGGACTTAGCGAAGTCTTCCCGCTGTGTTCTGTGCGCATGCGCGTGGTCCAGTCGTCTTTCGGCCTGAGCGGCCCGCCACAGGATGTGGAAGGCCAGGGGGAGAATGTCTGCGTGCTGCTCTGTGCTGGGCGGCTCCATGCTGCGCTGGGTTGCTGGACTGGGGATGAATTGGTCGCTTTTAAGTACAAGGGGGCTATCCCGAAAAATGCTGTTTTGAGAAAATCGAAGGTAAAGTTTTTGCCCCTTGTTGAATTTCTGTAAAAGACAACGGGAGTTTCCTCTATAAGCAAACAAATACACACACCAATGAAACCAAACTTCTCCTGTTGGTAGGGCAATGCCCACTTTTGGTGTGGGTCAAGATTTCTGGAAATCCCCGAAATCTGGGTTAGCCCGCTTGTCCTTAAAAGCGACCAATTGTTGGTGAAGTGTGCTAGGAATGTTTTGTCTTGTTAGTGGAGTTTGCTAGGTGGGGTAGGGGGGGGGGTAGAATGTGAGAAAGGGGAGGGGGGTATTATGGGATGTTGACCAATGCGATAAAGTCACGACAGAGGAAACTGGGTGGAAGTGGATTGATCTGTGTGCGTGTGATTGTGCGTGGGTGTGTGTGTGTTTATGTGTGTGTATGTATGTTAGTGTGAGTGCATATGGTTGTGTATATGTGTGTACGTTTGTGTATGTGTGTGTTTATGTGTGTGTGTTCGTGTGTGTGTGTTTGTTTGTTTGTGTGTGTGTGTGTGTATGTCAGTGTGTGAGTGTGTGTGTGTGTTCGTGTGTCTTTGTCTGTCTTTGTGTGTCTTTGTGTGCTACAGTGTGTGTGCGTGTGTTCGTGTGTGTGTGTGTATGTGTGTGTGTTTGTGTGTCTTTGTGTGTCTTTGTGTGCTACAATGTGTGTGTGTGTGTGTGCGCGCGTGTGTGTATGTGTTTGTGTGTCTTTGTGAGTCTTTGAGTGTGACAGTGTATGTGAGTGTTTGTGCGTGTGTGTGTGTGTGTGTGTGT